TAATGTGTGATATGGGACTTGTTCATGAAGGTTTAAAGTTGCAGATTATTGTATTCAACGAATCTGCATATTTTTCATTGCAGAAAAAATAAATTCCAATAATTATAATGATGACTGATATTTTGCTTGGCGATTTGAATCTGTAATTTACAATATTTTATCTGTCTAGGTATTGCATTTTTTCATATTTAGCTTTTTAGTGTTTTATGGAAATATTTATGATTCTCACAATGAACAGATATATTATGCACTGAAATGATAATGATTATATTAACTCATAGAAATGTACTTTTTTTACATTATAAAATTGAAGAATGTATGTATATCTACATATCTGAATGCAAGTATACATAAACTAGTGCTTGAATGAATTTACATTCAGTTTTAGATTTTTAAATGTGGTTTCAAAGTGGTAATCTAATTAAAAATGTAAATTTCAGTTGCTTTGCTTGTTAGTAATAACTTTTTCTTTCTCTTTGCAGTCATCACATGAACACTAGCAAGAAAGGAAGTTGCTAAGATTACCAACATGGCTACCGCATCTAAAGGAAATATTATTTCGCGAATCAATTTTTGCATAGTAAATGGACTTGAAAAAGCATTTTACAATTATGGTGTTCTTATTGCTCGTCATCCTGCAGTATTCATGTGTATATGCTTGAGTTTGACTGCAGTATGCTCCATTGGTCTCATGAAATTTAGGGTGGAAGAACGACCCTTTAAATTATGGATTCCACAAGACTCAGACTTTATCAAAGTAATGGAGTGGCAAAAGGATAATTTCCCAGCACATTTTCGAATACAAATGGCAGTTTATGAAGCAGAAAATGTGTTACATAAAGATGTCCTTCTGGAGATGCTAAGAGTCCATGAAGCTGTTGTGAACACATCAACAGAAGATGCAACTTGGCAGTCCGTGTGTGCCAAGATGCCAACTATAACAGAAAATTGGTTTGGCAGAAAGAGAAAAAGAAGGAGTCTCAGGAAGGAGAATATTTCTGGTGTTGAAACTGTTCCTGTAATATCTTCAAGAGCTAAACGAGAAGACAGTGGACTGTTTGATTGGAGTACCTTTTTAGGTAGAGATACTTACTGTGGTTTTCTTGACAGCATACCTCTTGAATGCATGGAGCATAGCATTCTCGAGATCTGGGGATATGATCGTGATTTATTAACTGATCTTACCCAGGAGGAGATAATTTATGATGTTAATAATGTAGACACAAGTGCTGTGTTTGGTTTTCCAGTCAATTTCTCTCAGTATCTTGGAGGAGTAGAATTTGATGCCTCAGGCCAGATTATCAAGGCAAGAGCTTCTAGGCAGACCTGGATCACAGAAGTTAACATGACTGCTATACAAGCTGGAGATTTTGTAGATGATACAGGAACTGGTACAGAGGTAGATACTGAAAGTTTCCAGTGGGAGAAGGAGCTGGTAATGGTTGTTTTGGACGAAACAGAGAGACCAAAGAATATATCTTTGTACTTTATGGCATCGGCAAGTTTTGGAATGATTGCTGGAGATACAATCATAGGAGATGTGCAGTACTTAGCTGTTGGCTTTGGTGTAGTCTTTATATATGTCCAAATAATGCTTGGGAAATTTAACTTTGTGGAACAGAGACCTTTACTCTCTTTAATGGGTTTAAACTGTGTAGGAATGTCTGTGTTTATGTCCTATGGCATTTGTTCAGCATTTGATGTCCCATTTGGCCCAGTTAATAATGTGCTGCCCTTCCTTCTCCTTGGCCTTGGAATTGATGATATGTTTGTCATCATGCAAGCTTGGAATAATCTCACACCAAAGGAGAAAAAGAAAGAGTTACCTGAAAGAATAGGGCTTGCTCTCAAGCATGCTGGTGTTTCCATCACAGTTACATCAGTAACTGATTTTGCAGCATTTGCCATTGGCAGTGGGACAGTTTTGCCAGCACTTAGATCCTTTTGTATTTTTGCTGCAGTAGGTATTGCTGCTGTCTATTTCTTTCAGGCTACATTTTTTGTTGCCTGGTTTTCTCTTGATCAGAAGCGATTGGAAGACAATCGACATGGGCTTATCTGGTGTTGGAAATTACAGAATTGGTCTCCTAATAAGTGCAGTCAAAGGGATCTCTGTCAGACATTCTTTAGTGATGTATATGCCAAGTACCTCTTGAAACTGCCTTGCAAGGTGTTGGTACTTTTTGTAACTTTTGCCCTCTTGGCAGTTTCTGGATGGGGCCTGTCAAACTTGCGCCAGGAGTTTAATCCAGTTTGGTTCCTTCCTCAGAATTCTTATCTCTTCAAGTTTTTAATGAAGCAGGAGTATTACTACCCAACTTCAGGTGAACTTGGTACAATATACTTTGGTCATATGAACTACTTGGAGGAACTGCCCAAAATTGATAAATTGATGATTGCAATGCAGGAGAATGAAGACATAAGTGAAATAGATAGTTGGTATTTGAGTTATAAGAAATACTGGGAAAAGCAAGGTTATGAAGTGCCAGACCCAGAGGAAACCCAAGAGGAATTTTTAGATCAGTTGTCAATGTTTTTACATTCCCCAAGTGGATCAAAATATCAAGCAAAGAACTTCAACTTTGATGGTAAAGTGAACTGTACTGATCCAGCTCCACCTATTTTAGCTTCTAGCATAGACTTCAAGCATCGACCATTGTCTCTCTCTCGAGAAAAAATCAAAGCCATGGATGATTTGAAGGCTATTGTTAATAGTATGAATTTTAGTGGATTTGTAGAACCATATTCAAGAATTTACAGTGGATGGGAAACTGATAAAATTATTGAAAAAGAGCTGTACCAGAATATGGGACTTGCTATGGCTGTAGTGTTCCTTGTGACACTTATTCTAATTGCCAACCTTGTAACTAGTTTGATGGTGCTTCTTTGTGTGATAATGACTTTGATTGATGTAGGAGCATTAATGCATTGGTGGGGCCTCACTATCGACACAGTGTCTTGTATTGACATTGTGTTAGCAATTGGACTATGTGTAGACTATGCTGCACATATTGGCCATACATTTATGACTCAGACTGGCACAAGGGATGAACGAGCTAGACTCACCGTAGCCAAAATTGGACCAGCTGTTCTGAATGGAGGCTTCAGCACTTTCCTGGCATTCGTATTCTTAGCAAACTCAGATTCTCACGTTTTCATGACATTTTTCAAGGTAAATTTTGTTGATCTTTTTAAATCAGTATATTCGTGTGATTTTTTTGTGAGTTACTTTGAATAAAATTCTAGATTGTAATGTTGACAATGATTTTGCTATATTTGATTCTTTTTCTTTATAATTTTTTTATATAGATATTTCTTATTTTAATTAATTGTTTGTTTTTATTTGCAGATATTTTTTGCCGTTGTTTTGTATGGACTCCTTCATGGTCTTGTATTTTTGCCTGTTCTATTATCCCTTATTGGGCCAGCTTCCTATCCCAAAGAAAAGGATGATGAAGAGCCAGCAGATGGTGAAGAGTCGTGTCCATTCACCCCCCAGAGGAAATCTGAAGAAAAAAATGAAGAGCAAGACCATTCCACTAATTTGTTAGACAATGATACAGATCTGAAGAATGACCCAAAGAGTGGTAAGTGCCAAGAAACAGTAAGTCTAAGAATGTCAGAGAATAGCAATGACAAAAGTAGTCTTTGTGTGGGGGAGCCAAGTGTACAAATAGTGTGTAGTCGTACTTAGTGTGATCTTTCCTTATTATTGTTATTAATGCAGATAGCGCCTGTACATATCTGTATGCTTGAATTGATAAAGTCATTAAAGCCTTGTCTGTCTGTTTTTTTTTTCTTTCTTTCTTTTATTTTATTTATTTTATTTTTTTCTTTCTTTTTTCTTTCTTTTTTCTTTTTCTTTTTTCCTTTTCTTTTTCTTTTCTCTCTTTCTCTCTCACTCACTTACTCACTCACTCACTCACACACTCACTCACTCACTCACTCTCACACTCACTCACTCACTCTCACTCACTCACTCACTCACTCACTCACTCCTCACTCTCTCACTCACTCACTCACTCTCTCACTCACTCACTCACTCTCACTCACTCTCACTCTCTCTCTCTCTCTCTCTCTCTCTCTCTCTCTCTCTCTCTCTTCTCTCTCTCTCTCTCTCTCTCTCTCTCTCTCTCTCTATTGTTTGCTTGTAATTTTCTTTTGAATTTCTCATGAGACCAACATATTGTTGTATGCTTATCTGCTAAGGCAAAATTTTCCCAAAGCTTTAGTTTATCCATTTATTAGTATGTTTTTGTAAATAATAGAACGCTATTATCTTTATAAGATTGTATGACATTACAGAATTTGTTTTGTTTTTTCGTTTTGCTCTGTAGCTGATATGGCATATATGCTATGCTGTCATGGGCCTTGGTGCACACATTGTGCCGTCATCCCTTCCTGTTCTGTCAAAATAAACAAATATAATTGTGAAATAATATGATTAGCTTAAAAAGCAGTAGATAGCTTGTTTTTTTTATTCTTCCATTTTTCTGTAGATTTTGGAATCTACCTTTTTTTTGTGTGTATGTATCTGTGTACTGTACACTATAGTTGTATTTACACATAGATGGCCCAACAAATACTCAGGCAAGAAGCTGGCTGTATATAGCCTCACCTACTTCCTTGTTCTTTGAATTTTCTGATTTTTTTATTTGGTTCAATGGTATTAATATTGATACAGTTATTGCCGTCAATATTAACATTATCATCATTATCTTGTCATTGAAATACTACTAGCAATAGAAACTCAAACATAATTCCAAAACTCAAGGAGAGAGAAAACAAGTGAGATAGCTGGGATTGGTGATGGACTCCAGAGTGGCTATGCACTTGTGGATCCATCTATGTGTAAACACAGTAAAGATACAGTGGACATGGTTTGTGTGTACATGTCATCCCCAGTAGCAATGGGTTAAAGCTGAGTTACTTGTTAATTTGGAAAGGGATGTATTTCCATTTTGATATGAGGGACCCAGTGGTTAAGATAATTTTTATGCTTTTAAGTGTAGAAAGTGCTTTATGTTGCTAAACAATAAATGTGAGAAATTTAAAAACTAACCAGATATGTAGACAAAAATGAGAGTTAGAGAATAATGTAATAAAAATTAATTCCAAGATGAGTGATAGATACAAATTTGATGTAAGATCTGTGCTGATTGTTTCTTCATGCTGTAGAATCAAGTGTTGAATAATGTTTCAACACAAATATAATTTTGTTTGTAGTAGAGAATATCCTGTTTATATTACAGGGAAATCTTTTGCAGACAGGGAATTTTGAATATAACCTACACCTCATTTACAGCATCAATATTGTCTGACTTTTCACCAACTTTTATATTAGTCCAGCTTTTGTCCCAGAATGTTGTAATTTTTTATATAGCTATTCTTTTTTATATATCTCAGGAGAGATGTGAGAATACAAAAAGTATTGGTACATGCATATGTACATCTTTGTGTGTGTGTGTTTGAATTTTTTTTATTTCCAAAAGATTATATTCAGTCAGTTGAAATGTTTTAGTAAGCCTTTAAAGGGACTGTTCACCTTGCATGTAGACAAAAGTGCAAAAGTTGCGAGATGTATACCTTTTTGTTTATTCGTTTCTTTTCTCTTCCATTCTATAACCTTATATTTTCAAGCCTCCTTCCCCTTATCTGAACAAATTCATTAAGCTTATATTAAAAATTATCAATAATGTAAGAGCCCCTTCCTAGCTGTCCGGAGAGTCTGATCACCTTCCAAGATATTTTGCATTTGTGGCCAGTCAATCCTGTTACCCCTGGACTTCAACCAAAATTTTCATCATAGCAAATTGCTGTCACCTAGATTTTTCCATGATGGCTTATTCCTGTAGGCTGGCGCTCAGCCAATTTTTTTCATTATGGTTGTGATGTGTTTGTTATGTCACCTGGATCCAAGGGGTTAATGTGTCTTATTAACATATTGCCACTAAGTCATCAAGGAGGCAAGTAACTAGGCTTTCCTGACATCACCTGTTTATCCCACTCCTTAGATTTTTAGAAAAAAAAGTTTGCATTCTAATGTAACTATTGTGATTATTAATTTTATTAGTATCATTATTGATGTTATCATTATAATAAGGTTATGATCAATGCTAATAGTGATAATAATTTAAAAATTAAACATATGAGATCAGGTAGTCCTAATGATTGACACCTTGCAGACCAAACACTTGTGAAACCATCTTTCTATAAACAAATGATAAATCAATATCATAGTGGTCAGAGCATGTATACATTCCCTGCGAACATCACTAGGTTAACATAAGTATTTGGGGAACCCAAAGGGGATGGGGTAAGAGCAGTAAGACACCCTGCACTTGTCCATTTTTTCCCCCCAACTGTCACTTTTTGACTAAAAGATCATTGTGGATATTTTTCTTAAAACAACAAGGTGTCGATTCATTAATCACCTTTATTCCTTACTTTCTGACTGTATATTTGTTACTACCTAACAAAAGCACTCCCCAAAAAATGCACTACAATGTCATATCCTTATTCACACACTGAATCAAAAATAATGGCCAGAAAGTTACACAAAAGGGGGACAGGCAGACCTATAAAAATCATGCTTTTATTCGAAGATTTCTTCATGATTTCTTACATTCAAAGAGGAGAAAAAAAGAATATTGAATAAGAAATAAATAGAATTAGGCTTGGAAATCAGACGGTCTCCTTAAATGTATATTTGTTTTGTTGTATTCTAATAGTGTGCCAAATAATTCTCAGTATCTCTTTATAATAATTTTTTTCATGAAAGAAGGATGAGAGCAGTCGTAAGATTAGGAAAAAACAGGTTGAGAATGTTTAGGAGAGTTCTAGGGAAAGCTTTTGGTAAAGTATCCCTCATAAGTATATATAGATTAGACTATGTTTTTGAAAGTTTAAGTACTATTGGTATTACATGTAACATATTTATCATATTTTGTGTGTTTTTACTTAATTTGAACTCGTTTCTCTTTCATGCATCAAAATATACAGAGGACAGAGCAGCAGTGCTCCATGTATCAAGTATTTAAATCTTTCATTCTCTCTCATTTTCTCTTCTTTGCCCTCTCCTCTCCTTTCCTCTCCACATGCAGGTGCAGAACACACACACACACACACACACACACACACACACACACACACACACACACACACACACACACACACACACACACAACTCTCTCTCTCTCTCTCTCTCTCTCTCTCTCTCTCTCTCTCTCTCTCTCTCTCTCTCTCTCTCTTCTCTCTCTCTCTCTCTCTCTCTCTCTCTCTCTCTTCTCTCTCTCTCTCTCGCACACTCACACACTCGCACTCTCACACACACTCACACACACTCACACACACTCACACACACTCACACACTCTCTCTCTCTCTCTCTCTCTCTCTCTCTCTCTCTCTCTCTCTCTCTCTCTCTCTCTCTCTCTCTCTCTCTCTCTCTCTCTCTCTCTCTCTCTCTCTCTCTCTCTCTCAAGCCAAAGATTATGGTACAACTGAAAGTGAATCTCAGGAAAGTTGAATGCAATTTTATACATTAAAGCCTGATGTACTATGTAAGACAGGGACGGGCAAATTTTGGGCTACAGGGCCACTTTGGCAGATGGGCCAGGCCAGATCAGTTTATACATATATAGCTTTGTTGAGCCTATTTATCATCTTTTTGATTACCATTCTCAGACATAAATAGAAATAAAAACGAAGTGAAAAAAATCTTCCACTTGCATTAGCTTTATGATTATGATATGATTTGATTTGAACAATTCTGTAGCAATCTTTGGCAGGCCAGATGTGGTCCATGGGTCTTAATTAGTTTGCTCACCCCTGATCCAAGATCATAAACTTGTTATATATAGTAGGTTGTATCTCATGTTGTACATCCTTTTTTTTTTTTTTTTTTTTTTTTTTTTTTTTTAATAAGCAAGGTATGTTGGTTGATAAAGCTTTTATGTAGTATATAACAATTTCTAATTTTGATGGTATATATGATATATGCTTCTCTTGTATATCACTAAATTCAATTATTATCTCGCGCTTTCCCTGGCTTCGCTCTACTCTCACTTCTCATCTCAGAGGAAGACAGTTGTTTATGTATCAAGTTAAATGTATTGATTTTGTTGCAGTCAATTGTGTTTGTAATGTACAATATGATAATTGTAGTGGCCTATGTATATGAATGTGGGTATAGATGGCAATTTCAATGTATATTAGTCTATACAACAAATTATATATATATATATATATATATATTATATATATATATATAATGTGTGTGTGTGTGTGTGTGTGTATATGTATATTATATATATATATATATATATATATATATATATATTATATATATATATATATATATATATATATATATATATATATATAACATATATAATGTTTCATTGTGGACTTCATGCAAAAAGGATTGGTTAATAAATATTTAATAATATTCTTTTGTTTTATTTGCACTTTCTAAAGCTGGATGGGTAAATAGGATGCAGTAATATAGTTTGTAATATTGTAATACTGAAAATAGTGAAATTCTCTCTCTCTCTCTCTCTCTCTCTCTCTCTCTCTCTCTCTCCTCTCTCTCTCTCTCTCTCTCTCTCTCTCTCTCTCTCTCTCTCTCTCTCTCTCTCTCTCTCTCTCTCTTCTCTCTCTCTCTCTCTCTCTCTCTCACTATTTGTTATTTCCTCCTATCCCTTAAGACCTTAGATTTGAGAACAACTGCTGTAGAGAATATCTTGCAGCAGAACTCATCATGCTCTAATTTCAATTGTTTCATATTTCTATTTCCCTCAAAATTGAATATCAAACTGTTATTTGTGTTTCTTTAATCCCATCCCATTCACTTATTCAATCTTGTTTATCATTTATGACCGCCTTACAGAAGCAACTTGATATTTAGAAAATGAAAATGAAAAGTGAGAAATGATATAATAAGGCTGCAAAGCATACATATAGATAGATATGCATATGTGTATATGTATATGTAGAAATGTATATATACTCATGTATATCTAAAAATGTATATATACACATGTATGTGTATAAATTNATATATATATATATATGTATATGTATATATATATGTATATAATATATATATATATATATATATATATATATATATATATATATATATATATATAATATATATATTATATTATATATGTATATATATATGTATATATATATATATATATATATATATATATATATATATATATATAATATATATATATATATATATATATATATATATATGTATATATATATGTATATATATTATATATATGTATAAATATATGTATATATATATATATATATGCATATTATATGTATATATATGTATATATATGTATATATATGTATATATGTATATATATGTATATATATGTATATATATGTATATATATATATATAGAGAGAGAGAGAGAGAGAGAGAGAGAGAGAGAGAGAGAGAGAGAGAGAGAGAGAGAGAGAGAGAGAGAGAGAGAGAGAGAAAGAAAGAGAGAGAGAGAGAAAGAGAGAGAGAGAGAAAGAGAAATATTATGATTTTGTGAAATCATAATATATGTAAGAATAATAAGCTTATATAAATAAATAATTGATATAAGTAGTAGCTGAACATATGAATTGTAAAAAATAATAATTATCCTTACTTCTCTCCAATTCTCTTGACAACCTTCACCAACCACTCCTTGTCCACATCTCTGATATTCATCAACATCAACTCGAGAGTTCCTCTGAAGTTCAGCACTGGGAGCTCCTCTGGCCTAACTTCAACAGGTATCACAAGGGTGAGCCGTATGCAACGGACTGACTTCCATATCTTATCCAAGCTCTTGCTAAGGCAGGCAAGAGCTTTGGGGCTTGACACACGTGCACGGATGTTCTTCAGATTGAAGCAGTAGGCCAAAACTTCCCTACCTTGTTGTTGTTCTCCAAGACTTCCAGTGAAATTTATAAGATGACCCCAAGGATACAGGGTCCTCAGGAATTCATCTGACGGCCTGTCATGGTCATACTGAACATGCCGCCAGAAATGCATTTCAACTAAGATTGGGCAACTCTTGTTATAGCGGTGTCCAATTTCGACCTTTAAACTTTTCATTGTATCCAGGAAGTATTTGATTTCATATGGCTCTACGTCACATGATATTTCAATATTTAGGTTACGAAGTGAGACTGATGTCTTAATTAAGAGATTAAGGCCAGAAACTACTTGTCTTGCATTCAATTCCCAGTCTTTCACAGGCAACTGGTTTTGAGCAATTCCCTCACATACCGAGTGGTCATACAGTGATTCAACAACTAAATTCCACCAGTAATTGTAATCATTACTTTGTATCTCGGCTACACTAAACAACTTTGATAAGTGTGGAAAACTGATTTTAAGAATATCTGGCTTCTGCTGGCGATGAATAGCAAGGTGACCTGTAAGATACTTTAGAACTTCTTGGTGATGCCTCCAACTGCTATACCCAATGTCTTGTTCAATATCCTCAAGAGTTCTCTTTCCCTTTTTTATTTCATCTGCTAAGAATCCTGCTGCAAGGTACTCCATCTGTGTCTTGTGTAAGAATTCATACACTAGTTTATCATCATCTTCATCCACATGACACATAAGAAAGGCAGACATCAATTCAGTAATATCAATACTTCTAGCTTTACATTCCTTTTCAAGAATACAATATATATCTTTACCAACTAAATTTTTTGCATCTTTGAGCATTAACCATGCTTGTTCCCCAAGCAAGAGAATGAGATCATCAAGATGTGAGTAAAGTTTACTACCCATGAAGACCTTTGTACAACACAAACGCTCAGCTAGTTTTTTTTTGCATAGCCTAAAGAGTTCCATATACAGTCTGGTAGCAGAGGTAACACTGTTTACAATATCTGGACTTTCTTTCCAAAGGTATATGAGTAGAGCCAGAGTTAAAGGTAACTTCAGATGCTCATCCAGAGCTTGTCCACGGTTGTTAAGGTACTCCAGAAAGTCATTGATCTGCCTCTTACATCTGTCTTTATCCTCTTCTATCACTGAGAACACTTTTGTGGTGAACTCCTTCTTTCGTCTATCATCAAATCCACAAACTTCTACAGATTGGAATGCTGCATATCTCTTTGCCAAGCTGATTACATCTTCATGGTAATCTGGTCGTGTTGTTATTATGATCCGATGCTCACTGAATATGGCCAAAATATCCTGAACAAGTTTCTTGGCCTGCTCTCCACTCTCATCATATCCATCAATAATAAAAAGTAAATCAAGGCCTTTCAGTACCAATATAACATCTTTAGAGTCAAAACTTTTACATGTATCTTTAAGCAGAGTCTCTTGAAGGAAATCTATCACCTTGCTGCATCTGATGCGCCTAATTTCTAAAAAGAAAACTAGGTCAAATGAGCTAAGCATGTCAATCTCCTCCTTTTTTGTATGCCAATTAAAGATCAAGTAGCGGCACAAAGCAGATTTGCCAGATCCTGCCAAACCCTTGTATATCAAAATTGGGGGCAAAATGGTATCTCTTCGCACTTTAGCAGTAAAAATGGCTTTCAGTTCTATTTCCATCCGACCCTCAAGCTTTAAGGGTGTAAAGATCTTGTCAACCTCAAATCTGCAGACTTTGTCATCCTTGTCGTTTATCCATGTACAGGGATTAAGCACTCGTAGTTTCTTGTAGTGAGCTTCAAGCTCCTTTCGCCCCTGGATGATCATCTTGGACCGTTTGTTTTCTTCAAATGTTTCAATTGCCTTACCTTGCTCACCAATTACAAAATTAGTATCTAAGATTTCAGTCAGTACATGTTCCATCTCTTTGATATTCTGAGTAAAATCAATATCAAGGCATTTACCAACACCTGTGTAGATAGATTTTAGAGTCTCTTTAAGATCATCTATCTCTTTGCTCAGATTTCCCTCCATGTGCCCATAGTAATGGCACACTTTGTTCCTTTTCTTTTGAAGTTTCTTGATGTGATCTTGACAATCAGGATCCAGTTGGCAATAAACATGATCAAGCACATTTTGCAACACCTTGCACAAGTAGCAAATATCATAAACATCACTATAGATATTATTATCCAAATACTGTTGTTCAAACTTATCAAAAATTTTCAAAGCCTTTTGTGTCCAAGATAGCTTGATCCTGCAATAATGCCTTAAAGTCTGAATTTCTTCTCCAAGGTTCTCCTTGCTCCACACTGCCTTCAGCACATAGCACATAGATCTGCTGCCAATAACATTTATGCAGTGGTACAGCTTTGCAAATTGCAAGTCATCCTCATTACAGGTTACAGCTTCACCAGGGAGGACTAGGGTTGACAAGAGGAATGTTGTCATGCTGGACATCCTTCTGCCTATCCAGCTCCACCATTTCATGATGAAGCCTTCATTCCATGGGCCTGAAAGTCATTGTCAATAGTGAGTGAAAAAAGCAAAGCAAAAATGTATACATGTGTAATGAAACACAATTGTATTTAATATTATGATCAACTGACTTACAATTCAAGTAGTATGGCTGTAATGTTGCTTCATCACCCCAGGTAATGCCAGTATTCCCTCAGAGTATAGCTGACTCACAAATTTGAAATTATGCATCAAGCACTCTACCAGCAAATCACACCAACTCATGTGCTTAAGTTATATGTATACATGTGTAATGTAAAAGTTTCTCAGAGGTTTTCTTTTTTTCTCCTAAGTATATTGGCTGTATTCAATCCATTGCCACATAAATCTTGCTGTGGTCTGTGATGGATGGCCTACAACTTGAAGTTTGGCACATTAGCGGCACAATGTAATGTAATCACTGCAGCCTCACTGATTAATGCTCAACAAACTTACATCAGCTCTGACACAATAAATCTAGAACTGCTTTCTTATTTGGCAATGCTTCTCAAGGGTGGCCTACATTTTCTATCCAAAGAGAGCATACCATCACAAGCAATAGGCAAATGTTTTTAAACATCATACAAAGATGTTACAATATTCATTGCATATAAAGTAAAACAGACAAAGATGGGGAATGGAAAGGACTGCAGAAGAAGTAGGGACATACACATGCACATACACACACGCACGCACACAAGTACGCATGCACGCATGCACCAACGCACGCACACACGTACACATGCATGCATGCATGCTTGCACACACTTACCCCCCACACACAAACACACACACACACACACACACACACACACACACACACACACACACACACACACACACACACACACACACACACACACACACACACACACAAAAAGGAAGAGGAAGATATTTGTCTCTTGTTACTTAACTGGTCAACAAGGGTGACTTATGGAGACAATTATTAGTTAACTTTAGTTTAATGAAAAAGGAAGAGTAGCAACAAACTATATGAACTTACAAGCTGGTTCCTTGTGGCAGAAGTGCCAGAAGTGGGATAAAGACAAAGGGTATGGTCACAGCTCTTGACCCTGGCACCATGTCAAGGACTGACATGGTGTAACTTGTGGCAGATGTGGCAGGGAAACATTTTGCATAAGGGGGCATGGTCACAGCCCCTACTCTGGGTAGTACCCAGGCAAACAGGAGAGGTGAAGGATTGATGTAGCCCTGCCTTTTCGAGTTAAGAGACCAGTTTCTTGTGGCAAAAGTACTAGAGTCGTGAAGACAAAAGGGTATAGTCCAATCCCATGTTCTAAGCAGTGCTCCATCCAAAAGTTCATTAAGTTCAAGGTGTATAAAGTTGACCGCTCAAATTTTCTTTAATAAAAAAAATATTTACTCATATTGATAAACGAGAAAGTGATTTTGTAGTGCAAAAGATGACATTTTTTCATGTTCAACTTTGATAAACAGATGAAGTTTGAATATGAAAATTATTTACCTTTACCTTAGCTAGAAGCACCTTCTATATCCTCTTCAAAACCTCCTGTCCATCCAGTGATCACTCTAAGTATTTCCCTTGGACAAGCTGTTAAGGAAGTATTCTTAGGGATTCCCATGCATACTGCCTAGGAAGGACAAGGGACACGTAAGAAATCTTACTGCGGAGACTGAAAACCATCTTTTAGAAAATCACTTTTGCCTTCTTTAAGAAGCAAAGCTTCCCCACATATGCCTATGGGTGGTATTATCATCCCAAATCTTGATGGGATGTCAGCACAATAAACCAAGTGTTCTTGGGAATTGTTTCATGATGAGACACCAGCAGGTAGCATGTACATTGATGATGTTGTGATCCTTGTATCTGAGTCCCAACAGTGAGGAACCTCCTACCCTGACTTTGGTTGGGGAGGTAATCTCTGAGATGGAGGATAGTGAATCAATTGGTCTCTGCAGTATTTAAACTGAAATAACATACCCAGTGGCTTGTGAATTGAATACCAAAGATCTGGATACACTTCTGGTATTTCCAAAATAGACACTATCAATAAATTTCAAGTCACAGTAGTGTGCTCATGAATTTAGTCATGGGCTGCTTGCAACTTACATCAACCTAATGAAGGTATTTCCAGATTATTAAACTAGTAGCAAGCCAATATATTGTAGATTGTGGTGAGGGTATAATTAGCTTCATACCTATTAATTCAAAAGTGAGACAGGCCTGTATTCTTATATAAAAGCTTTCAAGAGTCAACACTGGGTACCAGTAGTATTAAACTATTGAACATTGGAAGATATCTGTAAGAGGCATCAAAGACCACATACTGAGAGACAAGATTTGCTATCATTGTAGTAAGAGAGGTACCAGTATCTGCTGTGTAGCACTCCTGATGGGTTTTACTCCAAAAAAAGCAAGTCTATATCTGCTCATTACATTCCTCACATTCAATGAGTACTGTGGGAGGTCAAAGAATAACTTTGACCAGCAAAAAAACACTTGACCCATGCTTGGCAGCTGTACCTACACTATGTTGCACTGCAGCTACTACACATGGCCTTTTTCCATTGTCAACACACCCTGCACTGCCATTACTTTAAACCAGGAGGTTAGCATCTGGCTACATGTCATTGCTCTTAGAAGTGAGCTCTCCCATAGACTGGGGGTGGATGACCGTGACAGCATGTTTTCCTGCTGGTGCAAAGAGAGAACAATGCCATATGTATGATTTTAAAGCAAACATAATCAGTGAATAGAAGGGTAAATATAATAATAATTACCATTATTTGTCACTAAGTAGAAATATTAGCTAGGAAATTTTTTCAAAAATATGCAAGGTGGCACTCTCCCCTACCATCAAATAAAACATGACAACTGAGTCATACACTCTGACATATGTTGTCAGAACCAAAATTCTATCTTCTTTACTGTGTTGACACCAAAACTAAATCTTCCTTACAGTCCTGACACCTGTCAGCAAGGGGTTAAGGTCAACCTTATCTATTGCTATATCACCTGAACCTCTGTAGACCCTCATGGAAGCACTTGGCAGGGGGCAAAATCCTTGGGTCTAAAGGTCTCTTTGGCCAAGATCTATTGCTTTGCTAGAACTTGATTAGTCAGTACATGCTTGCAGCAAAGACATTAGTCACAAAGACTTTTACTTACCTTAGTAGTGTTCATCACTCTGGGCTGTCAAATCAGGAAGTGGACTGACAGATTGGCCTGACATCAGGAGTCACTAACTCTCTCAAGAGAAGTTGGAGATGTCCATATTTGTCAAAAGGACCAGGATTACTGCCAACTCTGGCTATTTGAATTCTTAGCTCTCTGAGGATGATCACACCCATCGGACAATTATGGGTGGGTCAAATTGACTTTCAAAGAGACACCTGCAACTGAAATTAAAGGGTAGTTGCACTAATGCACCCTCCTTGTCCACACTGAATGATTCACTGGTTCAAATTGTAGGATGAATTATCTTAAAACTTAACTTCCTAGTTCACAAAACCTAATGAGTCAAAGATTTAATAACCTACTGAAGACCAAAGAACTAACCTAATACTGCATGGTAAATGAAGGAAGCCTTGGATTGCCTTGCATAACAACATAGATTAGTGACTACCCAGAAGACAAAAGCTAAGCACTTAACAACTTTCATGTTATTGCTAATAACTGAAAAAATGCTAATTTCCTGCCAGTGTACCTACCTGGGAGGTAAATCAGTGTCAAAGATCGCCAACATAACAAGCTTGGATTCTGCCCTGGCATACATACATATGTGTTTAGGGGATAATGCCATAACATCATGCACAAACATTGCTGGTGGGCCAACTAGTGATTGACATAACACATCTATTTCAGACTCAGTTTCAAGTCTCTTTCCAGTAATATATTAACCCATTAATTGCAGTATCAAAAATTGGCTAGTAGCTAGTAATGTAGGTCTGTTGGCACTCTATGGCAGTTTCCATTTGCACCTGGCTCATTTGGTACTTCAAGCACAACACCTAATAGCTTGAAGCTTAAATAGTACCTAGCTTCTTGTAGCTGTCTCTTATAAATAATACAAATAGAAATTAAGGTTTCCCTTTACTTTCAGTGCTTGTAAATAAAAGAAACACCAAACAAATAGTCACTACTAACAGCAAAAAACAAGCTCCCTCTGATGTGGCAACAGCAAGCATATGCCATTATGCTGTACCATCTACAGGGTGTAACAGAAATTATTTTCCTTAAGCAAACAGGCCGCCAATAAGCCTAAGTTTCCTTTTCTTTTCCAACAAAAAGATAACACAATGAGCCTTGGATTGTCTTGCACATCTGTCTGTAGACCACACAATTGCATTTCTTTTGAGTTGTAGCTCTTCAAGTTAACCCCAGTCGATATAATGACCCTCTCCCAGATGCTGGAGGGGGTGAACTTGTATGTTTCTCAAAAAAAAAATGAAAACATCATAAAACTGGACTATTAACTTCGAATTTTACAATTTCCTTTTATTCTTTTTAACAGATAGTTTCCAAAGTAAGGCAATATTTTCTCCTAAAAAAACAAAGGTAAACTTTTCCCTTTCAAAATATTGGAAGATGACAGCGTGGTCTCTTCTGAATGGTCTTCCCAACGAAAGAATGAGCTCTGATATCAGATCAATGGTGCTGGAGTTATTCATGCCCTTGCTTCAAAAAAATATTTTAAGAAAAAAAACATAAGTGAAGTTTGGTTAATTTCCTTTTATCTTATAATCTATGCTACTGATGTATAAGAAAATAAAGCTCCAAATGTGAACTTTCCAATAAAACTTGTTGCAATCTAATTAGTGGGTAAGTTCATCATCTGCAATAAGAAGCAAACAAGAGCCATTGTAGAAACCAACATTTTTTAGTTCCTTAGGTACCATTACTTAATATTTGTAATAATTTGGTATAAAACTGATACTTTAGTGACAACAGTATAGAAAATAAAAACATTCATATGTCATTGAAACTTTAGGGGGGACCACTTGGCTCATTCAACAGACACTTTATACCATGTGTTCTATGGTACATTTATCATATATACTAATCTTAATTTATTTTGAATAATTGTTGATGTGGTGGGAGAACTCATCTTCCTAGCAAGTTT